TATTTTAAAATATAAGCAGTTGTACTGCTTAATATTTTTGTGGAAGATTTTTTCAGGATTCTTTGATAAAGTAAAAACAAAATACAGAATTACAGCATTATACATGTCTTTACAGTCACTTTTTCAGCATCCTTGCTAGTATTTATACATATGTATACATATATACTAGCGGTGGGAATCACGATACAATACACAGCTCACAATACCGATAATATCACAATACAGCAGTTCTGTGATAATCGATATACTACTAGACAATCCTTTAATGATACATCACTATATCTGTCGATATCTATGAAAACAAAATGCCTGTGAAAAGGTTAAAGGCACAATATGGACGATTTTTTTATTAAAATATCCAAAAACCCCTAGAACAGTGTTATATATTTTGCTGACTTGTGTACTTACATTATCCCAAATGTTTCGAAGAATGTTTAAATCCAGAGAAATAAGCAATTTTAACTAGTGACACGGACCGTGTCCATAGTGTCATTGTGTCGCCTGCCAATAACGTCATAACCCCTCGATTTCCGGTTCTGTTTCGTAGAAAACATGGAAACACCAAAGACGCTTTAATATGTTATGCGTTTTATTAGACAGGTGACGACCGCACAGAGTAGCATAATAACAGAACTTTCAAACGTATCAAGTATGATAAAACAGCGTTGCTTTTCCCCCCCACATACACACGACCGGAAGGAGCGGAAGCGGTCGACTGTGGCATAATAAAAGCTCAGCTGCTTTCGAGCCGTGTGTCACGCTCATTCAGCGGCCTCGTTTCGCTTCGACAGCTTTCCGCCTCACTCTGCTTCATACTGCGATGTTAATACATCTTTTCGACGGCTTTCAGCCTCACCCTCCTTCATTCTACTACGTTAATAAATCATTAACTCACCCATGAACATGATTTCTGCCCGAGTCCCATAGGATTGCATCGGCTGTGGGGATGAAGACGACAACTCCCATGACTCCACACTCAGTCACAGCGTCATCTAACTACGCCTTTGATTATTTGTTTATTTTGAATACGCGCCCTCTAGTGGCGAAAATTACATAGTGCCTTTAAGTGCAGGTTCTCTCTCTTCTTTTAAGTACTAACTGCTGATAATTCTGCAAAAATGAAAATTTACTCACTCTCAAGTTGTTTTAAACCTGAACGAGTTTCTTTCTTCTGTTGAACATAAAAGTTATTTTGAAGAATGTGGGTAACCAAACAGTTAATGGTCCCCATTAGGGCTGGGTTTTGACACACATTTCACAACTCGATTAGATTATCCTTCAACAAGCTTGTGATTTGATTCGATTTGATTCAATATAGATTATTTTGAATATATAACAGGACTTGGCAAATTTTCTCAAGGAAAAAAAAATCTCAACTAATACTGTAAAATATACCTGAGAGTTAATATGGAAAGGTTGAAATTTGCTGATTTGTATACAAAGTTTTTGTAATATAAAATTTATAATACTAACTTTAAATTACATAATTATATTTCTACTCCCATTCGTTTTTTGAAATATAAACATTTAAATGGTAGCTGTCAGAAAAACTTGACAGATTTATTTCAAACAAATTAAATATTGAAGAACAGTAAAAAAAAATAAAAAATGTTATATGGTACATATTAAGCAAAATGCTCCTCTCTAGAGTTCCCTTTTCTAGCTGACTAATGAGTTCATGGTCCCCAAATATGATTTTCTGTGGTAAATATGACATTACGTGACATTGTTTACAAGCCATTGTCATCTTTCTGCGTTTGAAACACTGATTGAGCGATTACATGAGACAGGTTTCCTGTCAGGAGTGCACCAGCCTAGTGCATGCGATTCTCCGCTAAACTTCACAGATTTCAGTGAAGGAATGCCACTGCACACATGCGCGCCAAACAGACGGAGTGCAATAGAATAGGAGCACAATAATTCTGACTAAAATATACATTTTACTAAAATATGTGTAGTTGGACAGTAAATGTGCCATGTGTAGAATTTTAAACCCAAAAGTAGGCTAAGTGTATTTTACGATAGCAGTAAAGTGTCTATTGTAATGGGGTAATCAAAATATAATGCAATTAATCTATGCTTTTGTTTTTATTCATTCTTAGTTTAGTGAATTTACCTTCTGCTTTAAATAGCATTGTTTTTGTTTTTAGATTGTAATGTTACAATGTAATGTGATTTTAGCCCCTTTTTTGCACATAATATATAGCATAGCCTACATGGTTACTTTCAGTACATTTGTTTTCATTGCCTTTAAACATTGTTTCATTGTACAATATTGGGCAGGATGTAAAAAAAGTAAATATATATACAGTGGGTACGGAAAGTATTCAGACCCCCTTAAATTTTTCACTCTTTGTTATATTGCAGCCATTTGCTAAAATCATTTAAGTAAATTTTTTTCCTCATTAATGTACACACAGCACCCCATATTGACAGAAAAACACAGAATTGTTGACATTTTTGATTTATTAAAAAAGAAAAACTGAAATATCACATGGTCCTAAGTATTCAGACCCTTTGCTGTGACACTCATATATTTAACTCAGGGGCTGTCCATTTCTTCTGATCAGCCTTGAGATGGTTCTACACCTTCATTCGAGTCCAGCTGTGTTTGATTATACTGATTGGACTTGATTAGGAAAACCACACACCTGTCTATATAAGACCTTACAGCTCACAGTGCATGTCAGAGCAAATGAGAATCATGAGGTCAAAAGAACTGCCTGAAGAGCTCAGAGACAGAACTGTGGCAAGGCACAGATCTGGCCAAGGTTACAAAAAAAAATTCTACTGCACTTAAGGTTCC